GTCACTAAATGCTAATAGAGTATGAGGGATAATCAAAGGAATTATAAAGGAATTGTAAAAGGATAAGAGTAATTAAAGGGGTAAAGGTAATATCAACTTTACTTGTCTTTGTTATTGTAGAATCTTGATGCAACCGGTGATAAATTGTTGATGATGTCTGGATTCTAACTTCCTTTGTTATATAGGTGTTCGTTTTCTTCGTTTTTCCGTCTGTTGACCTTTTGATGCCGTCTGACTGTATCCGCAACACGTGGTCGTCATCAGCGCATATCTTTCGTGTGGCATTATATCCTCCTTCCTGATCACATCATCATTTTCTTATCGTCAATACCAGTTGGGGTCAGATCTATATCAGTTGAGCACAGTTCTTCACCTCCTTTATGGTGTTTATCAGAGCTTCATTATAGGTGGTGGTATGGAGATGGTATTGCGAATGCCGATGATTTATCATGATCGTGCTTGCTGAATAACTATGAAAACCAAGCCTTTGTGATTTCGGAGATGCGACAGGAGACGAATGTCTGGGGGTAGCACTTTCTCTCTTTGAATTTCTGTGCATCAATGATTCTATTACAGCGAAGACATTATGCTTGTGACTTTTCACATGTTGATTGTATAAATTTATAGCATTTGGCCCTCCCGGGGTGAACCTTTCTATACGGTACTTGATGAGATGGATGGGATGGGTCTAGTACTTAGTTGAGTCATTATTTTCTTCGCGATTTCTCGTGGGGGAACGTGGAATCGTGATCATGATCATAATCACGATTATGACAGCATTCTGGTGTTTGATCTTCAGGGCCGTCATCTTTTTGAGGTAAGTGTTCCGTTTGCTATAACCGTTCTGTTTTTGGGTGGTTAGTTCTTTCTCTAACCATTCTTGTTTTTTTTTTTTTCTTCTTTTTCTTTTCGTGTTGGTGCCTTCTTCGTGGTCTTGTCCCGGTATTTCCAATCATCGGGGCGGTATATCTCTCGTTGGTCGTGATATTGATTATTGTGGTGGGGGCTTGTCAGAGTGTTAGACTTTCCTTGCTGCTCTAACATCTTTGAGAATATATATGCATGCATATACAGTATATTCTAGGCGTGCTTAACTTCTGTAGACTTCGTATGATAAACATTTTTTTTTTCGCGATCATGATTGTGATTGTGATCACGATCATGATGGAATTTCGGCATTTCTAATCATCAATCTTGGTTGTATTTCGGTAAGTCGCAGCATTTTCTTTCTTTTGCGGCGTTCTACCATTGGCCTCTAACTCTCTTCCTTACCAGTCTTTCCCTAGCCCCATGCTTCA